TTTATAGGGGGTTCGAGAGATGGGTTGTGGTTGTGCCAACCTCTTGGCCCACCTACCTGTTAGTCCGTCCCAAAAACAATCCTATTGGTTGCATGTAAGAAGGGGTGGTTACCTAAAAGGAGTGGCCAATATTGTAATCTAAGACCTTACTCAGAGTATGGCATCTGGGCAGGTGTGAAACCTTGGCATCAAGATGCTCCATTGTAGTGTTGATGAAGCTGGCCATTCTATTGAAAACCAAATGTCCATTTGGAAGGAAATGCCTTCTCAGGAACAAAGCAGTGATGGGTGGTACGTGACCACAAACAGTTCTGCAATGGGGCTGTTTCTTCTCAGAGTTGTTGTTTCTTCTTGCTCACAATAATGGAGGTTTGTGCTTCTTCACCAGGCTGGGTAACTGTGTAGCTGAAACCTTATTTACATGTAAGGCATGTGCAGGCACCTTCTATGTGTGGCATCACAACAGGTGACTTCGTGTACAGTCTTCTAAGCCTGTGTGTGTGTGTGTGCACAATCCATTGTGTGTAGCAATAAATATAGTCCATAAAGCAAATATCAATCTCATTCTCTAACACTAAGCCATACCTTGTCTCTATCTCTGGAAGATAAAATCATGGTTTGGATATTAGCCTATGGTTTAGTTTGATGTCTAAGTGGAGCCTCCCATTGTACTTCTACAAGAGAACTAGGAGGAGGAGGAGATTGGATTTATACCTTGCCCTTCACTCAGAGTGGCTTACAAACTCCTTTCCCTTCCCCTCCCCACAACAGACACCCTGTAGGTAGGTGAGGCTGAGAGAGCTCTGACAGAAACTGCTCTTTTCAATAACACCTCTGACAGAACTATGCTTTCCCAAGGTCATCCAGCAGCTGCAAGTGGAGGAGTGGGGAATCAAACCCGGTTCTCCCAGATTAGAGTCCGTGCACTTAACCAGTACACCAAACTGGCTAGAGCAATCATACTGAGCTCAAAGAACAATATTTTAAAATCTGTACTGGAGTCAGTTAAGAATTATGAGTTTTCACCTCTACTATTTTGTGCCTCAAAGTTAGGTTGTAACTCTTCTTTTTCTGTAAGGATTTCACATAGTTACTGAGATAATGGTTGTTTTCAAAATCCATGCCTTTTTGAAAACCTGTTAGAAACCCCCAAAATAGCTCTAAAATTAATCATTATCCACAAAACAATCAATTCTGTTTGAGCAACAACTCTTTTTTAGAAGATGATATCACATTCCAAGAAACGTCAGGTCTCACTTTGAGATACTGTGAAAATGTCTCCCAAAGCATAAACTTCATAATAAGTGATGCAAGTTCATCTCTGATATGGGCTGTAAAAAAGAAGATTATTATAATAGTGCTCTTCCCAGCAAATCAGACCATTAAGAATGTACTTAATGTTCACTTGAATTGAAAAGGAGGCCTGTTAAAATCCATATTTTGCTACTTTGTATAATCATAGAAAAATTTACTACCTAGTAGTTCCAGGCCACAAATTTGATTTTTACGAATGCAAAGTACATTTGATTTTACCAAAAAGAAAAAGGCTGTGTTCATTTCTAAATTCCATTTAAAATGTTTCTGTACATTCTAATACACCTATGATTTCTGTTGGACTACAATTATCTTGTTAGAATGATTCAAATGTATCATAAAAATGGTTCCATATGTCTCAAGACAACTGATGCATTTTATTTTCAAATGTTAACATAAATAATTATCATAGACTGATTCAGGTATAATATGGGATGACTAGATTAAAATTTCTTCTAATACTAGGTTTTTCTTATCTGCACCCATTTACCTTCTAGCTAGGAATATGGAATACACAACCCTCTACAAGTTGGCAGTCAGAAATTTGAAATAATTTAAGCAAAATCTTCTTCAGGCACTTTTTTAGAATTAGTGGGCATACAATTTTTTTAAAAAAATGTTTTTGCCAAGTCCCATCTGCTGGATGCCAAGCTGTATTTTAGTCTCTTGATTCTTAAAACAGAAAAAAGAAAGAAAAAGAAGGCAGCTTGTTTTCATTTGTCACTACTATGCAGCAGTCACAGTGGCTCAACACATGGCTCAATTTCTTTAACCCACATAGGTCCTTTCTGCACTAGACCTTAATTCCTGGTTCAACCCTGTCCCCGAATTTACATTCTACACTACACACGAGTTCACCTCTGTAATTATCTCAGAGTATGTTTACATTCTACACTACACTCAGGTTCACCCCTGTAATTATGTCAGGGTATTTTTTGTTTCCACATTACATTGAAGTCACCCTGGTTTTGCCCCACACTTGTCCCAGGATAAACAGATGCTGTTATAACAAGGGATAAATGCAAGGTATTGTGGCACGAGTTGAACTCTAATAAAACCAAGGATGAGATCCAAGTGCAGAAAGGACCATAGTGAAGCAAAATATAGAGGATTTCTGTGATTCATTTTCACAATGTTTTGCTTGTTGTGACTTTGGTCTTTTAGCGTAATTTTAAAATACACCACCATTTTGTTTTTAAGGGTGCCGGGTGAATGCACCCTAGTACTGAACCGATTAAGAGCCAATGGCAAATCTACCTCTAATCATCTCTTGCCTTTAAAATAAGTTTGTAACAACATGACGGCTCACTTTACCTTATACCTAAAACATATTTTTAAAAACAGTTTGCCTAGTTCCAGGCAAAAATGTCTCTAGAAGTCAGAATTTCTCAAAGGATACAGCAAAAGCCACTGTATTTTTTTAATGGAGTTGCTTATACAGCCTTAAAACATCCATTTCATATGTCTAATAAACCTGACTCTCAGCAAGATACAACTTCCTTTTTCATATCTAAGTCAGGTGACATTTCCTCCAGGAAATGTCATTAATTTATTTAACTTGTTTCCCTTCTTTCCTATTGAGGATGTTCAATAAAACTAACAAAATAGTAACATAGTGTCCAAACTGCATAAAGCAGCCACATTTAATCAATGTGTGGGAAATCACAAGCACAAACAGGAAAAAAAAAAGCTGGCTGTCCCTTCCATCTACTGTTTCCTTTAGACATATTAACATGTTAATACTTCTTGGGGTTTCACAAGACACAGTTCTAGCCAAAATACTATTAAAACAGAATTTGGTCGTAAGCCACTTTAGTCCTGTTGAGACAGGTACCCTCTGCACAGCACCATCACCTAAAAATTAATGATTTCTTCTAAGAATGCAGGAGAGAAAATTGAAAACTAAAGCCGCCAATTATCACTGATTTAATAGTGCTGACAAGGATCTAGGATACCTAGGCTACATTCTGCTGGGATATTATGTTCTTCTGATTTCAAAACTTTGTTCCTGTTTTCACCTAAGGAAATTTCTGATGCTCCACACAGAGCAGAATACCATATTTCTGGGGAGGGCAGAAGATCCACTACATACAAGAATTCATTCGTCATGCTTCACAAGAAATATTGAATACCATGTTTGTCAAATCAAACGCCCTGCTCTGCAATAGGGAGAAACCTAGTTTGTAATGCAGCTAGAACCTAGTTTGTAATGTGACTTAACTTTGATGCAGCTGAAGAAGGGAAAAAAAAAACCAAAATTAAAGGTATTAACAGCACAGTCCTAAGCATGTTTTCTCAGAAGTAACTACCACTGAATTCAAAGGGTGAATAGGATTACACACAAGTTACTTCAAGTAAAGTTATTTATGGCCCTGGTAACACGGGAGGATTTGCCCTGCAAGAGGGATGGATCGGGGGCGCGATCACACTGCAACATCTGGGAAGCGTCACGCACCCATCCCTGATCCGTCCCTTCGGCCCGAAAATGCGCATTTAAAAGGTACTAGCAACAGAGCACTACCTTCTGGATGATGCAACTCCAGGTGTCTGGTCAAGGAAGCGCTGGTAGCCCGTCGCAGCCAGCGTCGTTCCCCGTCCTACGCATGCGCACAACCGTGCTACTGCCGGTTTGCTGCACAACGTGTGATTGGCTGCCAGAGCACAGAGCCGTGGGGGCACGTCGGATCGCGCTCCCGCGGTTCTTTTTGCTACGGCTCTAATTTGCCTCCCTTTGGCAGCGGATCATCCCGCTCCTGTGACCGGGACCTAAGATAACTTATTGAGTGTTTATATAAAATTCTGATCTCTCTGGCGGGTTTGCCTACAGGCTAAGATAAAGTTAGTAGCCAAAGCCAAGACCAACAGTAACCTTTCGAACATATGCACCACTGTTCAGCCTCAATAAAATTTAAAGTAACAATCAATCAGGTTCTTTTGTTTTGCCCTGTTTTGCGGCATTCATGTTATAAACCCATGTTACTACACAAAAGGTTCACGATACATGAAGACAAACTGCTGAAGAATGAATGCTACATTTCAACAGCAACTACTAATTTTAGTTCATTTCTACATCCACAACAGATCAAGCATTCCAGTCCTTACAAAAAATACCACTTTCACAATTACAATTGCACTTTAAAGCTGTATACATGCACCATTTATATGAATAGTGGCATTTTATGTTTTCCTCTGCAATTTCCCCACAGAAAATCTACAAAATTATTTTGAATGTCCAAGTTGAAAACCAGCTTTTGAAAAGGAAAACCAAAAAAAGAGAGAGCATGCATGTCCCTGGAGAAAATCCTTTTAGGTAACGTTCATACCAACCAATCTGTGTTTCCCCATGATGGCAGCCGATTGGAAGAAGGCTTTCATAAAATTTTCACCATGCATACAAATGGCTCATGTCTATGTATCTATCTTGATCTGAAATTTGTGCCATTCTGAAGGAATATCATGAAAGGTTTTTTTTTTCTTTTCCCCCTCAAGAAACATGTGAGAAGGGAAAGGAAAAAGTGTCCTCCCTTCAATGGAAGCCTGATTCTTTGCACTTTCCAGAACTGTGTTCACATAAGAAGTAATGTGTACTACAGAAAGGTTCTGTGTTCATTTCTTTAAAGAACGAAAACAAATGTGGTTATGAGAAAAAATAAGTATGCATTTGACAATGATTACCCTGTACTTACTGTCCTTTTCCAGACCTCAAAAAAGCCTTGCTAGTTTTCAGTCTTGAATTGGAGTATCATAGAGCATCAAGCCCAGCATTGCAGACCTGATGAAATAAAAGTTAAATGTGACAGCTATAGTTACTCAATGATTAGATGAATTCATTTCAGTTCAAGACAAAATTACCAGTACGTCTACACATTTGAGTGAATAATACCTGTCCATCATACATAGCCTGCAACACTTTTATTCCTACAAAGAGTGAGTACACTTCAACTAGTTCTGAATATAGCAGTCAGAAGTATGAATCAGGGTAAGCTCGAAACTGTAAAATGAGAAACTGAACATTTAAATATTGTAATTGTCGTGGGTCTGCCTGCCAACACCTCCTCAGATAAGGAAGAGACAGAGGAAGCTGGCCCCAGCCCTCAGAGGCTGCAGGAAGACCCATCATACGAGGTGGAAACTCCATGAGGTACAGAAGGGGAGTCTCAGGCTGAAGTCAGTGTGCCACGCCCTCAGTTGAACCAGAGGTCCTGCAGCTACCAGCCTCACCCCTGGGGTCACCAGAGCCCTTGGAACACCAGAGAAGGCAGACCCAGTGGGAGGCTCAGGAGTGGTGGCATAGTGCACAGTTGGCAGCCCAGCACCCATCAACTTCTGCTTGTGAGCTGGAGTCATTTCAGGGTCAGGGCTGCTCTGCCATTGATGACTTGCACCTGTCCCTGGATGACTCATCAGGATGATGAATTGCACCTGGCCCTGAATGACTCCTGATAAAAAGCAGCCAGAAAAGGGATAGCTACTGTGGGAGCAACTTGTCTACAACCCGTGTGTGTGGCTGTCTGTGTGCTTGACCTTCTGGACTGTGACCTGGCTTGTGCTCTTTGGATTTGCTCTTCTGGTTTGATGCTTAGATTTTTTAATATTTTGCTTTGACTCTGGACTGTGCTTGGACTTTGCTTATTGCCTCAGATGCCTGCCTGAAACTGGATAGCAATCCTGGGAGAGAGCAAACTAAAGTGGACTGGATTAGGACACTTTCAGGCAGAAAATTACAAAGTATTTTACTTGGGGAATGACAAACACGGAATAAATGGAGTTGTGCTAATAGTGAGGGGAGATGTAGCATAGGCAGTCAGGGGCTATAGCAAAGTTTGACTGAATAGTATCAATCAGACTTCATGGAAAGCCTATCAATATAGCCATTGTTCAAGTTTATGTCCAGACTACAGATGCTGATGAGGAAGAAATTGAAAGCTTTTATGCAAGTGTCCAAGAAGAAATTGATCACACACCCGAACAAGATGTGCTGATAACCATAGATGACTGGAATGCAAAAGTAGGAAACAAATCAGAATCATACTGTTGGAATATTTTGGCTAAAAGCATGAAATGAAGCAGGAGAGCAACTCACAGAATTCAGTGAAGACAGCAATTTGTTCATTGCAAACATGTTTCAGGCAACCAAACAGATGATTGCGTATGTGGACATCACCAGATGGCCAGTATAAACAGATCACATAATTGGAAAAAGAAGGTGGAGAAGCTTTATTATCTCTGTTAAAACAAGACTAACTGTGGTGCAGACCATGAATTGTTAATATTGAAAATTAGAATAAAGCTGAAGAAAAACACCAAAGCATTCATAGTGCCAAAATATAATCTAAGCAACATTCCTGAGGAGTTTAAAGACCATGTAAAGAACAGATCTGCATTGCTACATTCAAGTGAATGTGAACCAGAAGAACTATGGGTTGAAACCAGAGATGTTATCAAGGAAGAATGTGCAAACACTATTCCTGTAGCCAAAATAAATGAAAAGCCTTGATGGATGACTCATAAAACTCTTAAAATTGCTAAAGATAGATGGGAAGAATAAAAGGTGAAAAAACAGAATCAAAAGCCTAAATGCAGTGTTCCAGTGACTCGCACAAAGAGACAGAGACAACTATTATAATAGTCAGTATAAAGAGATAGAAGAGAACAAAAGAAGAAAAAGAAGAAGAAGGGATCTGTTCCACAAAATCCAAGCAATCACAGGGAAACTCAAAGCACATTTAGGCATACTGAAATATATTAACTGAACAGGACAAAATAAAGAAAATATGGGAACTATGCATTAAAGAACAATACAAAAGAAATGAAAGGATAACACATACCTTCCAAGAACTATCTATTGAAGAACAACCTGCAATTTTAGAGAGTGAAGTGAAAGCTGCACTGGAACCTGCACTTAGAGCAATTGGGAGAAACAAAAAAACCGGGAATAGATGGGATATCAGTAGAACTATTCCAAGCCACAGAAATGGAATCCATCAAAATCTTAACAAGATTGTGCCAACAAATATGGAAAACAAAATGAAAAGTACGGGGTTCGCCGCATGGAGGACTCAGATGACAACATGCGTTTGCACACGTTTATTGTACTTAACATCAGACTAACTAACGGCCCGACAAGGCCAACTATATACATACCCACCTAGCACCCCCTAGTCCCATTGGAGGGTTTGAATTTCCCGCCAAAGTGGCTATTGGTTGGAGCTGGGGGAACTAGGATCCTAGGTTCCTATTGTTCAGGGGAGCCAAGCTCCTGACTGTGCCGTGGACCCCTGGTGGCGGTCTGCGTACATAACACTCCTCCCCCCATAGATCAGACCCACCTATGTGGTGTAGTCCTGCAAGTAGGCGGGGGGTCAGCGCTCTCGGAGGGAACGCCTGGGGGCCGGTACTGGTTCCCTCGCTACCGGTTCCAGTTGACTAGCTGTGACCGGTGGTTGTGGCGCCTGCTGTGGTGTTGGCTGTTGGGCTGCTGGTACTGGTACTTCCGGGAGTGCTTCCCTCGGCGTGGCCTCCCCACTGATTGGGGTGTCGGCTTGCACCCTGGGTTCCGGTGTGTGCATTCCAGTTCCTGCCGTTAACTGTGGGCTTTTTCCTGCCTCTGGGAGCTGTCGCCTCCGGAGTTGGTCAATGTGTTTTTGTAGAATTCGTCCATTGTCCGTCGGCACCTCATATGATACTGGGCCCATGACTTTGGTGACTCAGCCCATGATCCAGGGAGACCCGGTTCCGTAGTTCTGGAGGAATACAGGGTCCCCTGGGAAGAACCCTCTCGGAGCCTCGTGATGTTCGACCAACCTCCTTGCATCCGGTGCCCAGTCTGGGTATAGTCAATCTAACAGCATTGCTGGGCACCGGCCGATCAGTAGCTCTGCGAGGCTGTGGCTGGTGATGGGGTTAGGTGTTGTCCTCTGAGTCAAGAGGAAACAGGCTAAGCGGAACTCCCAGTCCCCCTCTGAAATCTGGCTTAGGGCTTCCTTCGCAGTCTGCACTATTCGTTCGGCCTTGCCGTTGGTCGCGGGGTGGAAAGGTGTCGAGCGGATGTGTCAAATCAAGTTTCTTTGGAGGAACTCCTGGAACTCCGCTGATGTGAAGGCTGTCCCGTTGTCTGAGACTATTGTGTCCTGCAGGCCATGCATGGCGAAGATCCGGCGGAGGGATCTGATTACTGCCTTTGTAGACATGGTACACACGGGGCTGACCTCCAGCCATTTAGAGTAGGAGTCAACCGTCACTAAGAATAATAGTCCCTGAAATGGCCCGGCAAAATCGATATGTAGCCGGGACCACGGTTTGCAAGTTGACTCCCACGACTGCATAGGTGCACTTGGCGGGTTGGGCCGGACTTCTTGGCAGGTTTGGCACCTCCGGACCCAGGACTCAATTTCGGCATCGATTCCCGGCCACCACACGTAGCTCCGGGCCAGGGCCTTCATCCTTACTATGCCAGGGTGTGCCTCGTGGAGAGCCATGAGGACTCGCTGTCTCAGTGTGCTCGGGACCACGACTCGGTCTCCCCACAGGAGGCACCCTTTCAGTGCCGATAGCTCATCCTTACGGGTGCTAAAAGCTGTGAATTCAGCCCCCGGGGCAGAAACAGGCCAACCCCTCACCACCCAGCCTATGACTCGGGAGATGAGGGGGTTGCAGGTTGACTTGGCCACAATGTCGGCAGCATGCCGAGGGGGCTCTGGAAGATTCTCGACGAGCAGGACCCCTGGTGCAGGAGCAGGATCAGTGTCCATGACAGGCAGCGGTAGCTGGCTCAGGGCATTGGCATGGCCCATCGCCTTGCCAGGGCGGTGTTCTAAGCGGTACTGGTAGCCCACCAGAAAAAGGGACCACCTGAGTACCCGGGGTGACAAGACTTGGCACGTTTGCTTGTCGGCAGTCAAGAGGCCTAAGAGGGGCTTATGGTCCGTAGCAATCGTGAAAGAACGCCCGTAAATGAAGTTGTGAAATTTATTTACCCCTGCTACGATTGCCAACCCCTCCCTGTCGATTTGCGCATAATTGCACTCCACGGCCGTTAATGTTCATGAGTAATAGGCCACGGGAACCTCGCAGCCATCCGGGAGGATGTGGCCCAGCACTGCGCCGATGCCGTAGGGAGAGGCATCGCACGCAAGGACAACTGGGAGGGATTAATCAAAGTGGGCTAGCATGTCATTTGAAATTAACAGCGCTTTCACCCCCTGAATGCCGCCGCTTCACTCGGGCCCCAGATCCAGGGGGGCAACTTATCCAGGAGCCGGTGTAGGGGCTCCGCTACCGCAGCCTTGTGTGGAAAAAAGGTGTGGTAAAAGTTTATTAGTCCCAATAACGCCTGTAGTTCTGCTTTACATGTGGGGGCGGGGCCCTCCACGATGGCCTTCACCTTGTCCTTCGCTGGATGAAGGCTGGTAGCATCTACCCTGAACCCCAGGAAGTCAACCTCTGAAGTCTCGAGGAGGCACTTCTCCCGTTTCACCTTGAGGCCAGCCGAGTCAAAATGTTGCAGGATGGCGCAGGGGTGGGAGGCAAAGTTGTCAGGGGACGCCACGGCAATCAAGATGTTGTCAAAAAGCGGTGTCACCCCAGGGATCCCTTTTAACAATGAGTCCTTTAGTTGTTGGAATATCCCCGGGGCTACACTCACGCCGAATTGTAGCGTCTTTACCTTAAAGGCCTCCCTGTGGGTGACTATTGTCTGCGCCGTGGCTGTGGCCTCATCTACCAGCAGCTGTTGATAAGCTTGTGCCA